CTACCATGTGTGATTTTGGGCAACTCATTTAACCTGACTGGCCCAGTCTCCCCATCTAGAAAATGAAGGGATTAGAAGAGCCAGACTCTGAGTTCCCTTCCAGCTCTAGATGAAGGAGACTGTTCTTGGAGAGTGACAGTATTTAAGACTCCATAGTTACAACAGAATGGCAAGTAATTCTTTACTCTTCTTTTTAATGAATAGTACTGGGGCACCAGCAAAGTGGGTGAAAGACAACACAAATCTGTCTATTTGGTTTTCTTCTTCTTTTTTTTTTTGGTGAGGCAATTGGGGTTAAGTGACTTACCCAGAGTCACACAGCTAGTGAGTGTTATGTGTCTGAGGCTGGATTTGAACTCAGGTCCTCCTGACTCCAGGGCCAGTGCTCTATGCACTGTGCCACCTAGCTGCCCCTCGTTCTCTTCTAAGACTCCTATAGAGCTACTGTCTATGACCTAATCAATGAATAGATTTGGATGGTCAGAATTAGGTTACCCAGAACCGGAGGATCCAGAACTTCAGCCATAACTATGATATAATTTTTTTAGTAGAATGTAAGCTCCCTTGAGGGCAGAGACTATCTCACTGTTGTATCATGTTTCCTGTGCCTAGCCTTGCCTGACACAATAGGAGATGATAGATAGATAGAAAGCTTACTATGTGCCATGCACTGTGTAAATCCTAGAAAACAAATATATACAAAAGAAGTCATCCTTATGTTTGAAAAAAAGACATGAAAAGGAGCTGAAGGGCAAGGTGGAAGGTGGGTACCCTCACAAGGTCAAGGTGAAAAAATATTCTAGAGAGTCATGGGCTGAACCAGGTTTGAATTAACTGTGGTTGTCTTGGATACTTCCTCAAATGGAGGCTCCAGGGGGGAACTCTCTAATCAGAGGAAGAAACCCTAGGTACAGCCAGGGTGAGAAGGTAGCTGCCACAGAGGCAGAGAAGTCATCCTGAGAGTCATGGGCTTAGATGGTTTTGCAGGTACTTAATATATGTGTGCTAATTGATTGGTTCAATGACAGATGACTGTAAGAGGTTGATCCGCCTAATTTGTTACAGACAGCAATAGCCAAGCTCTCCAAAAATGGATCTACCATTGGCCAATTCTTTCCAAATCTTCCTGACTTAGGGCATAGAAGCTGGTACCATCTACCAGGTTGCCTTGCCCCTGCTGGAATAAAAAACTCCATTGGTTGGCAATCAGTGTGGTGACAAAGTTCTCTGAAGAACATCTTCATATCATCATCATCAGTTCAGAGTTGTAAGAGAGCTGATAGGGCATTTAACCCAACCTCCTCATTTTACGGAAGAGGAGAGTTTGTGGCAGTAAGTAGCAAAGCCAGAAATAGGGCAGCTAGGTGGCGCAGTAGATAGAGAGCACTGGGCCTGGGGTCAGGAAGACCTGAGTTCAAGCCTGGCCTCAGACATTTACTAGCTGTGTGACCCTGGGCAAGTCACTTAGCCCTGTTTACCTCAGTTTCCTCATCTGTAAAATGAGCTGGAGAAGGAAATGGCAAACCACTCCAGTATCTCTGCCAAGAAAACCCCAAATGAGGTCAAGAAGAGTTGGACATAACTGAAAATGACTAAACAACAACAATCATAAGAACAAAGCAAAGTCAGAAATAGGACTCATGTCACCGCATTCTAAAACCAACTTGGAGTCTGCCCTTTATATACCCCTTCATATGTCCTTTATATATTCCCCTACACTCTATTGCATCTTATCATCCATTGGGAATTATTTCCTATATGGTAGGTGGTGGCTCAACAGGCAGCAACTCCATTAGGTTTGATGCAACAAAAGCCACTTTGACCCAAGGCATGGAAAACTCAGAGTAAAAGTCAATTAAGTTGGCAGTTCCAGAGGCCCAATTTCATGCTAGAAATTAATTAAAGTTTGGAAATTACATGAGTTGAAGACCAGGAATTGATCAGTCAATCAACAGGTGTTTATTAGGTTATCTATTTTCTATGTGCCAAGCACTGTGCTAGGGCTATGATACAAAGATAACAATGAATAATCTCTGTCCTCAAGGAGCATACGTTCTCTGAAAGCAATCTGTACGTAAATAAATTTATATGAAATAAATACAAGGTAAATTTTTTGAGGGGGAAGGCAGTAGCAGTTAGGAGGGAGGGGGAGCTTGAAAGAACGTGTTATAGAAGGTGGCACTTGAGCAGAGTTTAAAAAGAAACAAGAGATTCAAAGAGGCAAAGGTGAGGAAGGAATGCATAGGGGGAAGGGGGCATAGCTAATACAAGCATGCAGAGAGAAGAGATGAGACATAGGCATAGAGTCCAAAGAACAGCAAGAAGACCAGTTTACCTGGATCGTAGAGTTTCAAAAGAGGAATAATGTAGAATAAGGTTGGAAAGGTAAGTTAGGGCTAGATTGTGAAGGGCTTTGAAAGTCAGAGGAACTTATATTTAATCCCAAAGGCAGCCGGAGTCACTGGAGTTTTCTGTATACTGGAATAACATGGTCAGACTTGAAAAAATGAAAATCACTTGGGCAGTTCTTTGAAAGATGAATTGGAAAGGGGAGAGACTTGAGGCAGGGAAACCAATCGGGGGCTATTGTAAGGTCCAGGAGAAAGGCCATGAGGCCCTGAACTAGGTTGGGGACTGTGTGAATAGGGAAGAAAACTGAACTATAATATTATGGAGGTAGAAAGACTGATTGGTCATGTGTGTTGAAGAAGAGTTAGGTATCCAGCATAAAGCCAAGACTGCAAACTTTGACATCTCCTGGGCCTAGCTAGTAAAGCTGTAGCTAGTTAAGCCATCTAGGAGTAGGCAGGGCAGTCGCTGCCTGCTATTGCTAAAACCCACGTGGTGGAAAAGCGTCCCTCCACCTAGCCTTGTCCTCATCGGCTTCTATTGTCTCTTCGGCCCTGAGGTCTCCAGAGCCCCCTGCTGGTAAATTAGCAGAGCAGCCAGCAGCTCTGACATTCACACTCTGGTAGGACAAAGGTGGGATGCACTGGTAAATGTTTAACAACTGGCTTACTGAAAAATAAAAAGTACACAGGCTACCTTTTTAAGTTTAATCTGCACTACTAACATTTTCTCCTCCACATTCTTATGTCTAGACAGTCCCGATTTTTAGTGTTCTGTAGTTTCTGAGGTTTAAATGCTCACATTGAAAGTTTAAGAAATGGAGCCTGTCTGGACCAGTCTATATCGTTGTCAAAATGAGGGTAAAGTGTCAAATTGTACCTAAATGACCCTTTAAAATCTGCTCAAAATTTTCTCCTCTTTTCAATTTTTGTTATCATGGTTCAATCGCGTCTGACTCCATTTGGGGTTTTCTTGGCAAAGATACTGGAAAATGATTTGCCATTTGCTTCTCCAGTTCATTTTACAGATGAGGAACTGAGGCAAACAGGCTAAAGTGACTTCCCCAGACAGCAAGTAAGTGTCTGAGGCCAGATTTGAACCCGGAAAGATGAGTCTTCCTTATTCAGGCCAGGCACTCTAACTACTGTGTCACCTAGATGCCCCCTCCTCTTTTTAATACCATATCCTTGAACACTGCTGTAACTATCTGGGTTTTTTTTCCCAATAGAATTCTGTCTTTGCTCTCCTTTCCAAAAGGTAGTAAGTAGGAAAACAAGTTGATCAGTCATTTCATTAATTATGCCTATGACTGAAGCCTGGCTCTTCAGACCATGGGTACCATTGCTCAGTCAATGGCTACATACCCAAAATGCAAGTAAAAGATGACAAAAATAGCCTATTATGTTAGGTTAGCTGAGCTTGCTAACCTAAACCTATAAAATGAAGAAAGAAAGATTAGTTACAAATATTACATTCATCCCACTTTGAGATCCCATAGCCCATCCAAAACTGCTCAGTTTCCTCTACCTGACTTCCCAATCATATAAGCTGAGTCCACTACAGAGGCGTAGGACCGATCATATATTAGCTCCATCTGGACCAGAAAAGCCTGTATTCCCACCTAAGTTCATGTTCCAGGCTGTATGGCCTTCAGCTGAGTAGGGTTGGAGGGTGGGGTTGCTAAGCAAGCCACCTTCATAAAATGATACAAAAATGCCTGAAACAAAATGTTAGGATTCAACTCTACTCTTTCTTCCATGGTGTTTCCCTGACCTTGCACTATGTAGCTTGGTGAGGCAGTGAATAGGGTGCTGGGCCTGGAGGCAGGAATTGGCTTCAGATATTTCCTTGCATGACCCTGATCAAGACACTTAACCTTTGTCTGCCTCAGTTTTCTCAATTGTAAATTGGGGATAGTAATAGCACCTATCTCTCAGGGTTGTTATGAGGATCAGAGATATTTAGTTTTTTCTTTTTTTAATGTAATTTTTTTGGAGGGGGTATTGGGTTTGTTGTTGTTGCTGTTTTTTGGAGGCAATGGGGGTTAAGTGATTTGCTCGGGGTCACACAGCTAGTAAGTCTCTGAAGATGAATTTGAACTCAGTACCTCCTACTCCAGGGCCAGTGCTCTATCCACTGCACCACCTAGCTGCCCCTGTGTATTTGTAAAGCAGTGAGCATAATGTCTGGTACACAGTAGGTACTTAATGAATGTGTGTTTCCTTCCTACCACCACCACCAAACTTTTGGATTCATTGCTCTCAAATTCTATCTCACGTTCCTGTCTACCCTCTGGATCTGATGTCTTCTGGATTACAGATCAAGACACTAGGGAGAAGAGAGGGGAAAGGACTTGCCCAGGATCTCATGGCTTGTGAGACTGGCAGAGACTGGAACTGAAGCCAGATATTCTAACTCTTTGGAGGCAGCATAATACAGTGGAGAAAGGTTTGAAGCCAGATGATGTGAGTTCAAATCTTGCACGGACGTTTGCTACCTCTATGACCTTGACCAAATCAGTTAACCTCCTTGGGTCTCAGTTTCCTCGTTTGTGAAATGTAGAGGTTGGATTCAACAGCATCTGATGTCCCTTCCCACTGCAGATCTGCGATGTTCTTTTACCCCTTTGCCCTTTCCTTCTTTCTACACAGGCTATCACGGCTCATTCTTTCCCTTAGAGCATGGGCTACAAGACATATAAGTCGTGAAGACCAAAGACCAGATTCCTTCCTGGAGCGTTTCCGAGAGGGAGAACTCAACGAGTTGTCCAGCCGAGAAAGCTACACCCAGTCCAAATTAGGCATCCAAGAGGTGTCGGACAGAGGGAAAAGGTAGGGCACCTTCTAAAGACAATGGGAGGTGGGATTTCAAAGGAGAAGGTTGGGTTTTCTTTTTTTGCTTTCTTTTTTGGCTCATTAGATCAATCAATCAATCAAACAATAAACATTTGTTAAATGCCTACTATGTGCCAGTCACTGTGCCAGATGCTGAGGATACAAAAAGAGGCAAAGATAGTTCCCTACCCTCAAGGGGATTGAAATGTAATGGGAGAGAGGGGGCAGCTAGGTGACTCAGTGGATAGAGTACTGGCCCTGGAGTCAGGAGGACCTAAGTTCAAATCTGGCCTCAGACACTTGACACTTACTAGCTGTGTGACCCTGGGCAAGTCACTTAATCCCGATTGTCTCACCAAAAAGCAAAAAAAAAAAAAATTATTTATATATATGTATATATATATATATATATGAAATGGGAGAGTCAATAAGCCAATGAATATATACAAAACAAGTTATATACAAGATAGATAGGAAATAATTAACATGTGGAAGGCACTAGAATAAAGAGGGGTTGGGGAAAACTTAACTTAAAAGATGGAATTTTAGTCAGGACTTAAAGGAAGCCAGGGAGGTCAGTAATTGGAGAGGCATTCTAGGCATGGAGAGACCCAGAAAGGCTGCCTGGAGTTGAGAGATGGAGGGCCTTGTTTGTAGGACAGCTAGGAAACCAGTTATATAGAGTGAAAAGAGTGTGGGTAGGAAGTAAAGTATAAAAAAGACTGGGAAGGTAGAAGGAGGCTAGGTTATAAAGGGCTTTGAATGCCAAATAGGGCATTTTGTATTTGATCCTGGAGGCAATAGGGAGTCACTGGAGTTTATTGAGTACAGGAGTGACATGATCACACCTGCTGCTTTAGGAAAATCACTTTAGTGGCCAAATAGAGGACTTATAGGAATGGGGAGAAACTTGAAACAGGCAGACCCACCAGCAGGCTATTGCAATAATCCAGATATGAGGTGATGAGAGCCTGTACCAGTGTGGTGGCAGTGTCAGAGGAGAGAAGGGGGCATATTGGAGAGATGTTACAAAGGTGAAACCGACCAGCCTTGGCAACAGATTGAATATTGGGGGTGGAAGGTTGGTGTGTGTAAGAAATACTGAGGAATCCGGGATGACTCCTAGGTTGTAAACCTGAGAGATTGAGGATGGTGTTGTCCTTTACAATAATAAAAATAGTAGGAGGGGGAGAGAGTTTAAGGGAAAAGATAATGAGTTCTGTTTTGGACATATTGAGTTTAAGATATCTATTGGACATCCAGTTTAAGATGTCTGAAAGGCAATTGGAGATAATAGATTGGAGGTCAGCAGACAGTCTGGGGCAGGATAAGCAGATTTGAGAATCATCAGCACAGAAATGGTAATTAAATCCCTGGGAACTGATGAAATTCTAAATGAAGTTGTAAGAGGGAGAAGAGAAGAAGGCCCAAGACTGCTCTCTAACAACATACCCACTAAAGTTCAGACTGCCCAGCTGGGATAGTAGTCATTATTATAACACACAGGATGTTAGGGTTTTTTGTTTTGTTTTGTTTTGTTTTGTTTTGTTTTACCATACTCCTCACTAGAGAGGCTGACATTCCTAAAAGGAAAGTCCAAAAGATAAGGCCAGCTGCCTTTCACATTGAACAGCCTACTGATGGAGTTGAAAGCAGGGTCCTTAAGATCAGACCCGGAGAAATCCTGGCCCAGGAAGACTGGCCTCTCAAACATTTGTATTTCTCTGACCTTCCCGAATTCTAAGAGGCTCTCGGTTTCTGCAGAATTCTACTGATGACACTTAACTAAGCAACAGCTGGCCAGTTACAAGTCTTTACAATTATCACAGAAAGCACAGCAGGTGTTTTTGCACATTTTTGTGTGGGCTTGGTGGGTGTTGGAGAGAGAGTTAGTTCAGCTGGGGAAGCATGTCTTGGATAAGTGTCAAGGACAGGCTTATTCTTGTCTCAGGCCATCTCCCTGGAAGAATGAAATGATGTCCTTTGGCTGAATCCGCAAGGTCTTACCCAGGGTCACACTCCATAGACAAAAAATAAACTATCATTCAAAATAAGATATAGCCTTTGTCCACCCCATTCCACACCTTTGATAAAGACTTACATTTAAATATTTAAATTAGAGCAACAGCCCCTAGACAAGCTAAAGATGATTTCCCTGGCATGCATTTTTCCCTGGGTTGCAAATATGAAAGATAAACTTTCTCAGTTCTTGGTTCAACCTAAACTGGAGGCTGAGAGGTGATCTGGGTCATTCCACTAGGAGCACTCAGCTAGGCATTCAGATTTGTTTTAATGGTGAAAAGCCCAGTCCGTCTATTTATCTGGCAGCCTCTCATATGGCTCTGAGGCAAGGAGACTCAGGCTTTCTTTGGGTCATAGTATCATAGGAAAGGCAATGCTGGTGAACCAAACTCTCTCCTCTCTGACCTTGTGCTCAGCAAGACATTGAATTATGTGTGTGTATATATATGTGTGTGTGTGTGTATGTATATGTATATATACATACACATAACGTGTATATGTATGTATATGCATATGTGCATGTGTGTATATGTATATATTCTATTTCTAGATATACTATATATATTCTACTTCTACATATATACTATATATATTCTGTTTATATATACACATATGAGAGAGAGAGAGAGAGAGAGAGAGAGAGAAGGTAACAGAAGTATGGAGGGACTGAATGGAATGAAGGTACTGACATGGACATGGGGTAGGAGTGGGGTTTGGGACTATGAGTTAGAGGTGAACTGGAATTGGGAAGGCTTCCTGGAGAAAATTGAATTTAAGCTCACATCAGGTTGTGTGACTTCTTTTGCCTCTTATCCAAAATGAGATATTGGCTAAAGCATGGATGAGGTCACTTTTCCCTCTTGTTTCGAAAGATGTGCGTCTGTCCCAGTAGGACGAGGTGGGATAAACACAGTAAACGGTGGCTAATTATTACAGTGCCTGGGTGTCTGTACAACACCTCTCTGGACCACAGAGCTCCATGGGCCTGAATTTACATGCCTTTAGAATAATAGGAGAATCAGCTTCATTATTCCTCCAGGAATTCTTTACGTAATGAGAGCCAAGCCTTGCACCCTTAGAACAAGCAGAACTGGTCATGACCCAGCAAGCCCTAGACTCTGAGACTTTGTCTCTCTGCTGAGCTTTCTCCTTGACCCTTCCTCCCCTCCACCCTCAAATTCTAGCCAAAACAGCAGCTTACACTGGGCAAAGTCGCTTCCTCCCTAGCACGGGGAAAACTCAGTTGTTGCTCGGACAGAGAGGGTGACAGAAATAGCCAGTAGGATATCTTGCTGGCCTGTCTAGTGCCATAAATAGTGAGAGCTGGGCTGTCAGGCCTCAGTCCATCTGCCGACAGCTTCAGTCACACAGCGTGGTCTCAACTGTGTGTGTGCTCTGGGTGGGATCAGGGACAGGCAGGACTCCGGCTAGAGATGCCAAGAGGCTTAGAGCAGGGATCAAATTGACTTTCTTAAGCTGTTGAGGTGGAGGGTGGAGGGGGTGGGGGAGGAGCGATGACAGCTGAATGCACGCGTGGTAATAAACACACAGGGACACTCTGTAAGAGTCCTGGGAGGGATAGATAGTATGTCGGGTGATAGAATCAAAAGTCACAAAGTTCTTCACAGATTGCAGGGATGGGCTGGAACTGATGTGAAATTTAATAGGCCTGAATGTAAAGTCTAGCCCTTGGAGTTAAAAAATATATATATATCAGCTACTCAATTACAGGAAAGTCTTAAGGGCTTTAATTGATATGAGCTCCCTGTGAGCCACTGTGACGTGGCTGCTCAGAAAGTTAATTCAATATGTTTCACCCATCACCTCCTGGCAGAAGACTCCCCGGTCTGCTTCTCCAGCCCTGACCTCTCTTCTGACCTCCAGAGCCACATGTCCAACTGTTCAGAGGGCGTCTTTACTGCAACCTCAAACTCATTACGTTCCAGATTGGACGATTTGCTCCCGTTGCTCCTTTTGGCTTCAGTGTTCCTGCCTAGGGAACCAATTTAGTAGTCTTGAGATTATCTGATTCCCTGTCTGTTGATTTTACCTCTCCAATACCTCTCCCTTTTATTTCTTCCTGTTTTCCCGCTGCTATCACCTTAGCATAAGATCATATGTCTGGGCTCCTGAAGTAGCGTTCTAATAGGTCTTTTGGACTCTACTCTTATGATTCAATTCAATTCAGTTCAGTAAGTGTTTGTTAATTGACTGCCACGTGCAAGGAACTCTACTAAGTGCTGGGGATACAAGACAAAATCAACATGATCCTTCTCTCAAAGAGCTTACATTCTATTGGAGGAAAACATGTCCGCAGATAACACATATGTGGATATTCTATCCACTGCAATTCACCTTCCATATACCTGCCCCCCAAAATCTTAGATTTATATATTATATATTTTACTACACACTATATATTTTATGTACTATATTATTATATATTATATATAATCTATATTTTATATCTTATATAATATGTATTATATCTTATATAATATATGTTACAATATATAATGTTTTATATACTATATTGTATTTACATACTTTATTATATATTTTATAAATATTATATTTACATATTATATATATTTACAGATCTGGTCAAGTTATTCATCTACTTAAAAATCTTCAGTGGCTCCCTATTGCCAACCTAATAAAATTCAAACACTTTTGCCTGTTATTCAAGCCCCTCTACAAACTGATACCATCTTACCTTCCCAGTTTTGTCTTCTGTAGCTTATATCCATTGACTCTACATTCTAGACAAAAAGGATTACTTTCTGCCTCCCTACATGCCTTATGCTTCCCCCACCTCTATGCTTTTGCTAAAAAAATTTACCTCATAAATCAGTCCTGGGCCCTCTTCTCTTCTATCTCTACCACTCTCTCTCAAGGATCTTCTCAGCTCCCACTGGCTCAATAAATTCAGTGTAGGTGGCTCCTTAGGTCTACTTATTCAGCCTTCATCTCTC